TAAGAGTAACTGACGTGATTGGCTGAGTTAATAAGGCAAACTGCTGTGATTGGTTGAGTCAATAAGAGAAACTGCTATGATTGGTTGAATCAATGAGACAAACTTCTGTGATTGTTTGATATCATGAGACAAACTGCTCTGATTGGTTGAGTAAATGAAGAAACTGCTGTGATTGGTTGAGTCATTGAAAAAACTGCTGTGACTGGTTGAGTCATTGGAAAAACTGCTGTGATTGGTTGAGTCAATGAGAATTATTTTTTTTTTAAATATATTTATAACCATACATAATAATGACATATTAATGTGTGTGTCTTACAACAGAGAGGGTGACGGCGACCAGCAAGATATGGACATGATTATTCTACTGAGCCAGCGGTCACTCTACATTGCCTGGTATGATGATGATAAGGAACAAGTGACCAAATACCAGCGTATTTACCTGGAGGATATTGACAGGATAGAGATAGGTGATTGGCATATCATGGTTGACTGATTTTTTTAAATTAAAACTCTTGCAGCACTATTTTGTACAAATTTATTGTACTATATAATGAACATCTTATTCTTTAGACTTATTTCATCCAATTGGAAAAGCTCATTAAGTTGCATGAGCTCTCTTAAGATGGAGCTTTTTCACAAGCCCTGCACTTATTTTACAAATATTTCATTAAAAATGAACTATTTACCTAACAAATATTAAAATATATATATTCTTGTAGGGAATAGAATGAACTAATACAATCTTTATGAATCAAATGAAAAACTCAAGATTTATGCAAATGAGAGCTTTATTTGCATAATATGTGCATGCAAATGCAATCATTTTTTTTACACTTGGAATAATTATGTCTTACTTGTAGCATTTTCTTAAGTTACATGATTGTTGAAGCCTAAATAATTCCTAACAAACTTTTGAATGATATTCAATGTGAAAAACTGCATAAAATATTCCATGGGGGGGACTGCTAATGCTTTTTGACATATTTCAAGGTCACATATTTTTTCAAGCATTTATAGGGTTCACTAAATACAAAATAATTGCTATAAAATGACAGAACACTGTAAACTATTTATGGAAGCTGGCCATTTAAATGATGAGACGAGCAAGAAATGTGAGAAGCAATCTGATTAACTGGTACAAAGACCAGCCAACCCAATCTCAAAGCTTGTATTATTGGACACATGGATCGGCCTTTCCTCTTTTTTGCCATTCGACTCTGGGTCTAGGCATCTCAACAGGGTTAAATCTCAGAAACATTCATAAAAATAGATATACATACATCATTTCTCAGTTTAACTTATACATTTGAAACATGGAAACAAAATGCTGTCCAGATATGTAACAAAAAGGTAACATTTTCTTAAATATCCATGTTTGAATGGTTTGCATTCTGGAATAACATGTCCACAATTGAAAGATTTGTGTACAAGAAGGACATATCTCTGATTAAATGATTTGTAGGAATGACAAGTCAATGATTGAATGATTGTACAGGTATGATATTCCATTATTAAATGATTTGTGTTCAGGAGTGACATGTTCATGATTGAATGATTATACAGGTAAAACATTCCATGATTGACTAATTTATGTACAGGTATGGAGCCAGCGATGTTCAAATCCAAGCATCCATGTATGAGGATTGTCTACCATTTTGGGGCTGATGAAGGGCTTTTCCACATGTTCCGATTACCTCCTACGCGATTCTTCAATAACAAATCTACTGGCATAATGTCACAGGAAGAGGCAAAAGGTTTGAACATGCTGTCCGTCATTTTGTTCATACTATCCATCATTTAGTGCATTCTAGCAATCATTTTGTTCATACTCCGTTGAACCATTTCCAGGGGATGATACTGACAGTAGCCATATTTTATAAAGACATGACCAACGTCAAAGAAACTCTGGTCGAGATCCTTTATACTAGGACAAGGTTCAGTACAAATTTTAAATCATTTCTATTTAGTGGAATAAATAAAACAATGAATTTGACAATCAACACTTGTAAATAAAACAATGAATTTGACAATGAACTCTATTATATAAAACAATGAATTTGACAATCAACACTTGTAAATAAAACAATGAATTTGACAATCAACACTTGTAAATAAAACAATGAATTTGACAATGAACTCTATTATATAAAACAATGAATTTGACAATCAACACTTGTAAATAAAACAATGAATTTGACAATCAACACTTGTAAATAAAACAATGAATTTGACAATGAACTCTATTATATAAAACAATGAATTAAAAAAATTAACTCCTGTGTAGCCCTTGAAACCAGTGAAATATCCTCTTCCATACCAGGCACAAATGCATTATGAATCCTCTCTACAAACGTAGAGCCAGAATGATCAATACATTGATCATGGGCCCTTAATATATATTAGAAGAATAAGAAAAATTAAGATCATTTTCCTGATGTTTTCATCTGTTTTAAAAAAAATAATTTTTTAACAAGATAGTTGACAAGGCGTGTCAAATTATTAATTTTAGTGTTTATGTTACGGTCAATTTGATTATTCAGGGCTGTTTTCATAATGCTTGGTCATTATAAATAATGACCAATAAAATCAGGCAATTCAATAATTTTGTATTTGTCTACGACAATCTAGGATAATTTATTACATTGCCCGGTCATTATAAATACTGCTATTATTTCTCTGGTCACTTTAATTAACTGACAGCAATTTGGCAACTTGTGTATGGTGTAATTTATAGTCTGTAGAAGAAGGTGCACTGCAAAATGAAACAGGGTCAAATTCTTTAGCGGAGCTAGGTCCAAGTCAACATAACGAGGAGGAACTATTGATAGTTATGTTCAACCTTCAACTTCGTTACCTGAACCAAGTTCTAATTTCCACAACAACGAAAGAAAAATAAATGTCTCCGAGCCATCTGATATTCAAGTCTACAGGCATGAAAAATGAACGTATGAAGGTTATGAAGATTCCTCAGAGGATCCCAATGTGAAAAAAAGAAAAGCCGAGATATTAAAAAATTTGCGAGATTTCGGCAAGTAATCTAAAAAAACAAGCTGAAAAAATGCTTCAAACCACTAATTCAAAATACCCGGCCGCTAAAAAGGGTGACACGGTTAGATTGCGAGTCCCAGATGATGAAAGAAGTTGCACCGATGGAAGAAATATTGTGGCATTTGTTCTTGAAATAACAGATGCCAATATTTATAAGTCAGGCACAAAACATGGAATCCTAAATCAACTTTATGCTAGGAAACAATTTACAATATGTAATGAAAAGTTTATTTATGCCAAAGAAATTTATCAGTCAGAGATTTCACTAAGAGAATGTGCAAGAATGTCATCCAAGACTGGGGGCCAAGGCTATAGGCGATTTGGCTGTAAATGTGGCTGTAAATCTGACAAGTGCAAGTGCCGTAAATAAAAAAATCTGTGTAACTCAAAATGTTACCAAGGTGGAAGCTGCTTTAATAAATAGAAACTTTAGGATTTGACATTTTGTGTGTATATGTATTAGTAAGTACATAACCTATATGTTTTTAGTTAGGCATACATATTTTTTATACCTATTTTATCACCACCAGTTTATTTCTTTCTTTGTTTGTTAGTTACTTAAAAGTTTTTTTAATATAATATCCTCTTATTTTTGTATGTAGAGAACATTTATACTAGCACAATGAAGAGATTTTACAGACATTGAAACTGGACTTCTTGTTAAGATTTTTCTCATATCAGTTGTAAATATATTGTAATTATACAGACCAAATAATCTCAAATCTACTGCTTCAAATCTATTAATAAGACACGAACAAATTGTGTCAATAGAACAATAAGAGTTAGCTTTAATAATAATTGTACATTATACAGAATTAAACGTTTCGGCACATGCCTTCATCAGTACAAACAAACACAACACATTTAAATAAGTATAAATTAAATTTACATAATGTCAATAAAAAAATCTCAAATCTCAGTGATATTTATCTATCAGTTTACTTGTATTCCCTGATTAACTATAATTAGGATTGGCTTTTTAGAAAATAATTCCTTTAGTGTCCACCAGTGGCATAACTTGTATCCTGTGCAAACCCCTAAAATCCCCCCAATACACCCATACCTCATGTTTACCCCTCAAGGATTGTCACCAATGTTCCCTTTAAGCTGCGCGGCCACGCAGCTATCTCACAGATGCCATGCAGCAGTTTTGAGTAACGCGTAGCAAATTTCCATGTAAGTGTGTGTTTCTGTTAGTGGGCTGTAAAATTTTGCACACAAAAAAATTGATGCTGTAAAACTTTGCACACAACTGTATGATTTTTGCACACGAACCAACAAACCTTAGAGGGAACATTGGCTGTCACCTCTTTCAACCCCACTTGTTAAGCCACTGGTGTCCACACAGAAAAGAACAAAGGTGAAATCAACTCTGAAATACTGAACTGTCTACTACTTTTAAGATGTCAAACAAAAGTTATTTTTGACCAAAATAATGAAATGAAATCATGTATTTGTGTATTGAATTAGTTTTGTCACATAAAAATTGGAAAATGATAAAACTCTGTACAAAATACACAAGTACATTGTTTCGCTTGGCTTACATAACATAGGGGACTTGGCTTGTATTACATTGGGACCTGGCTTGTATAAAATTGGGAACTTTGCTTATATAACATTGGGAACTTGGCTTGTATAACATTGGGAACTTGGCTTATATAAAATTGAGTACTTGGCTTATACAACATTTGGAACTTGGCTTATATAACATTGGGAACTTGGCTTATATAACATTGGGAACTTGGCTTATATAACATTGGGAACTTGGCTTATATAACATTTGGAACTTGGCTTATATAACAATGGGAACTTGGCTTGTATAAAATTGGCAACTTGTCTTGTATAAAAATGGGAACTTGACTTGTATAACATTGAAGACTGTGTAAAAAAAAGACCTCTCCTTGATTTCTAATGACAATTGTTTGATAAATTATTTCAGATTCTCTGAGACTTATTGCTGACACATTCAAATCTGTCCAACAGTTTATGATTGATTATCTAGAAGTTGTGGAAAAACCAAAACTGGAAAAGTATGTTGAATACATAATGGTTGGTCATGGAATGATTGGTCATGGAATAGTTGGTCATGGAATGGTTGTTCATGGAATGATTGGTCATGGAATAGTTGGTCATGGAATGGTTGGTCATGGAATGATTGGTCATGGAATAGTTGGTCATGGAATGGTTGGTCATGGAATAGTTGGTCATGGAATGATTGGTCATGTAATGATTGGTCATGGAATAGTTGGTCATGGAATGATTGGTCATGGAATGATTGGTCATGGAATAGTTGGTCATGGAATGGTTGGTCATGGAATAGTTGGTCATGGAATAGTTGGTCATGGAATGGTTGGTCATGGAATGATTGGTCATGGAATGATTGGTCATGGAATGGTTGGTCATGGAATAGTTGGTCATGGAATAGTTGGTCATGGAATGGTTGGTCATGGAATGATTGGTTATGGAATGGTTGGTCATGGAATGATTGGTCATGGAATAGTTGGTCATGGAATGGTTGGTCATGGAATAGTTGGTCATGGAATGGTTGGTCATGGAATAGTTGGTCATGGAATAGTTGGTCATGGAATGGTTGGTCATGGAATAGTTGTTCATGGAATGGTTGGTCATGGAATGATTGGTCATGGAATAGTTGGTCATGGAATGGTTGGTCATGGAATGGTTGGTCATGGAATGGTTGGTCATGGAATAGTTGTTCATGGAATGGTTGGTCATGGAATGATTGGTCATGGAATGATTGGTCGTGGAATGATTGGTCATGGAATGATTGGTCATGGAATGATTGGTCATGGAATGGTTGGTCATGGAATTGTTGGTCATGGAATGGTTGGTCATGGAATGATTGGTCATGGAATGATTGGTCATGGAATGGTTGGTCATGGAATGATTGGTCATGGAATGGTTGGTCATGGAATGGTTGGTCATGGAATAGTTGGTCATGGAATGATTGGTCATGGAATGATTGGTCATGGAATGGTTGTTCATGGAATGGTTGGTCATGGAATGATTGGTCATGGAATAGTTGTTCATGGAATAGTTGGTCATGGAATGGTTGGTCATGGAATAGTTGGTCATGGAATGGTTGGTCATGGAATAGATGGTCATGGAATGGTTGGTCATGGAATAGTTGTTCATGGAATGATTGGTCATGGAATGGTTGGTCATGTAATAGTTGGTCATGGAATGATTGGTCATGGAATGGTTGGTCATGGAATGGTTGGTCATGGAATGGTTGGCCATGGAATGATTGGTCATGGAATAGTTGGTCATGGAATGATTGGTCATGGAATAGTTGGTCATGGAATGATTGGTCATGGAATGATTGGTCATGGAATAGTTATTCATGGAATGGTTGGTCATGGAATAGTTGGTCATGGAATAGTTGGTCATGGAATGGTTGGTCATGGAATGGTTGGTCATGGAATGATTGGTCATGGAATGATTGGTCATGGAATGGTTGGTCATGGAATGGTTGGTCATGGAATGGTTGGTCATGGAATAGTTGGTCATGGAATAGTTGGTCATGGAATGGTTGGTCATGGAATGGTTGGTCATGGAATGATTGGTCATGGAATAGTTGGTCATGGAATGGTTGGTCATGGAATGATTGGTCATGGAATGGTTGGTCATTTAATTATGACATACATAAAATATATATTCAATGACATGTTGATATGAAATATATGTTAAATGACATGTTAATATTATGACATATCTATTAAATGAAATGTTAAAATTATGAAATATTTGATCTGTAGGAAGAAAGCTACAAACCACCCAGGAGTCATGGACATCCTACAACAGCAGCAAGAAAACTCGTTGGCCAGCATTCGGCTTCCCAGGGACATTTCATCTGAGATGAGTTCATTTGTTCCTGACCCTGATGGCACGGCCAGACTCCAACCTGAGCTCACCCCTGGGGTTGAGATGGTCAGTCCCAGGTCTAAATCTCCACTGGACTTTCTCCCCATGACAAATAGTGCTATATTATCCTCTATCAATAAATCCTTGATCAATGCCTCAGCCAGGTTCTCTATTCCCAAAGCAAATCTCAAAGAGAACCTTCAGAACTTTAATCTGATTAGAAAAATTAGAAAAGGAAATGATAATAATAATGGAGATAAAAGAGAAAAGGGTCATGCTAACCTGGATCTTGACAGCCGATCAAGTTTACTGGAAGAGACCAACAAAGACGTAGTTCTAGACAGCTGCGGTATTCTGGCTTCAAGCCCAAACCAGATCCTCCTGTCATCTATACATCTGAAGGCAGAGAATAAACGGAGCTCAACTCATTCAGAATCATCGTTGAAGCTGGAGCAGGCAGCCGCCATGAACGAAGACCTGACAGGCAGAGTTTTTACCTTTGAGGACATGGCCTCCAATATGTTAATTAGACAAAAGGTAAAAGAGGACGTAGACGTCCAGGCGTACACAGACACCACAGATGGCATTCGTAAGTTTAGAGATGATCCTGTCTCACGTAACAAGTCTTCTTTCAGTGAAAATACAAACATACAGGACAGAATGCAACAACACTTTTGTAATGACGTGCTAGAACACCTGGAAGCTAATGATGAAGAAGCCGATGAGGATTACTGCGTCTTAGAGAACGAGGAAGTGCGTGCCATCTTGGATAAGTGTCACCAGCTCAACCACCCGCACATGAAGACATCCCTGAGTGACACGACTCTCAGCAAGAGTTTAGGCTCAGCTCCAGATGAGAATATTCTGGTTGCCCAAACCACAAAGACGGACCCCAGGGACTCCAACATTGTATCCAGGTTCAAACAAAAGATGACCGGCTTGTCAAAGCCATCCTCGGGTAAACCGGTCGACCCAGTCCCCGCCAAGCCTATGGTACGGAAGTCTCAGTACTCTGTTGGCTTGTTTAACCAACGGAAGAACGAACATCTGCCAGCTGAAGAATGCCAATCAGTTTTTGTCTTTATATGAACATAATAATTCAATGGTAGAGAATAAAATTACATGGCTAAATTAAGTTAAACAAAATATTTGTGCCATATCTTAAAATTTCTATTTTTATTTTCCTTTTAACTTTTATTTGATTTCAACAAATTTATGAGAACATGACTTGTTTAGAAGACAAAAGTCTGTAAAACTAAAAAGCTTATAAAGTCTTGTTCTTTAATGGCCTGTAAATTAACAAATAACTTCCTTTAGGAAGGACAATAAGAAACATAAAGCCTAAATGACAAGTGGCCATCATCATCAAATAATTGAGAGTTGTGATGGATCAGTTGTACATAAGGAGTGTAACTTCAGTCTGTGATTGATGCTTTAACAATGTTACAGTTTCATTAGACTTCAGTTGGTTTCTAAACATTTTCTATTGCATAATTGTTGTTTGCAGTTGGTTTCAAGATAGTTAATATGAATGTTTGAAACATGTGTGGTAGATGCTGGAAAACATGTGTGTACAACAGGACTATGAGTGTAATGTGTATTGATAGTACCTAGGATCAGTTGTGATTAGAATTAGGGCTAGGTATGTATGTTAATATATTGAAACGTTTACTGTGATATTATAGTTTTATACATTGGTTTTGCAGGTGTAATATTTTATTATTGTTCAAATAAAAGTTTTGATAGATATCAGTGGTGACTGATTGTAGAAGAATTAATTTGATAGAGCAATTTTGTAAAGAAAAATTTTTTATAGAACAATTTTTGTTGGAGCTTTTCTTAAACATCATTCTTGCCTTTGATAGAGTTTATTGAAGTAGTTTTCATTCCATGAACTTTATTTTAGAGTTGTTTGTTCGTTGACATGTTGAAGGTAAAATAAATAATAAATTTGATCCCTAATTTATATCTAAATTTGACACCTGTACTTTACTCATATCTTGTTGCCATGACACATTCATCGTGTCATGACACATGTACTTTACACATCTCTTGGTGTTATGACACATGTACTTTACACATCTCTTGGTGTCATGACACATGTACTTTACACATCCCTTGGTGTAACGCAGCTGTAGCCGATAATTGAATTCTCTCTTAGCAATGAATCAGTTTTAAATGAAATATTTTTTATTTTAGTCACTCATGTAAGATTTTTGTTAAAATAAATTCTGTCACTCCATTTTTCAGGCATAGAGAGGATGCAACATAAGATTAAACTGTCATATTGTGCTTACCCCGTATACAGCTCTCCATGTTTCATTTGTTGAATATATTTTATTAATTGAAAAGGCTCCACATATTGCGCAAGATTTTCAACGCTATATTCCACAAATATTGTTGTAAAAATGCTTATCATAATATTGCTTTCAAAATATAAACCTTGTCTATGCTGCATAGTGGAAAAGGTTTGTAGAGCCTGATTTTTCCTGAAACAATTTACCGCTAGAATTTAACAAATTTGTAAAATTTCAATTGTACTTAACATCCATCTCTTACAGGATATTTACTTCAACATGATTTTCTTTTATTGATGTTGTGTCGAAACTATTTCCATAGAAAATAAATATATTTTCCAGGATCTGCACTTAGAATGTAAGGTCTAAGATACGTTATCTTTCAGAATCTGATTATAGAATGTGAGGTTTAGAATAAGTTTATCTTCCAAGATCTGCATATAGCATGTAAGGTATAGAATACATTTATCTTCCAGAATCTGCATATAGAATGTAAGGTTTAAAATAAAGTTATCTTCCAGACTTTGCATACAGAATGTTTTGTTAGAATAAATTCATCTTCCAGGATCTGCACGTAGAATGTTAGGTTTAGAACCTCAAGGATCTGCATTTAGAATGTAAGGTTTAGAATCACTTTTGGTATTGAAAAAAACCCACTGATTTTTTTTAAAGTTAAAAACGTTAAGTCCAATCTTAGCTCATGGGCCAAATAAAAAGATGATCCCTTTTTGTCAGATTATTGCAAAATGTATTATAAATTTTGTGGGTGCCAGGAATCATTCCATCTCTCTATGCCAATTTCATTGCACCCGAATGAAATGGTATGTTCATGTGTATTCTGTAATGTGTGGATAGTCAATATAAAATTTTTTGGTTAACAAATAGTCAATAAATGTGCAAAGAAAAACTTGTGACTGCAGCTTTTGCAATATTTATTTTAATATGCATTTTGTCAAATTAGTTGCCAAAAGCTGTTGGTGCTAGTGAAGAACAAAGGGAAATAATCCTTTTAAAAAGAAAATTAATTTGATAGATTTTCTTAATATATGTGTATTTGATAGCTTCCCTTTATTTAAAAAAAAAATTAATATTTTTTTTATAAAGTTTACTGTAACATAAAACTTTGAAGTGACCTTTTAATGAATATCTGTACTTAAAGAAGCCAGTTTTTTAAACAATCCATTTACATTGCTAGGTTGATGTTTCTTTTTGGGGGTGTTCTCTTGGTCTTTTTTGTCTTTGTTTATCTGTTGACATTCAAAATATTCATTATCAGTTTAGTAATGTTAAAATAATTTTTTCTTGAGCCAGTGTTACCCTTATGAATTTTTTGCTAAGCATGCATTATTCCTTTGATTTTGAAGAATTTGATTTAAAAAATGTAAACTATGATAAGCACAGGTGACCAAGTAATAACCTGAAAGCTTCGGAAACTAATAACTTTAACCTCACTCAGTATAACAGACATTATAAAATATTCTCTTACAATCAATTTGACCTGACTGATATTTGTGACAATGTCATTTTTTCAATGTTTAAATTTCTATAAACCTTAACATAACTCGTACAATATGGCCACCCTTCACTTAGTGAGGTGTGTGGTCCTTCAACAATGAAAAGACAATCTCTTAGTGTATTATTCAAGTGTCCTTATCAATACTATTTGTTAAAAATGATTCAAGGATATATTTAATATATAGTTCTGTTTTTATTTCCTGTTACCATTGTAAAAAAAATGTTGTCATTTGGGCTTGTTTTCATTTAGTTTTAATTTACTCAATAGAAAATAACCGTATGAACAAACAGTTTTTTATATATTTTCTTTACTTTTTTTGCAAGATTTATTGATAATGTTAAAAAAAAAAATGTTATAATTCTTTTAGTTGCAACTCTTCTCTCCCTCAATCTAGGCTGTTCAGTCTTACATGTTAATTTAAGGAAATAAAATTGAATCAAACCTCTGTCCATTTTCGAAAATTTCAAATCAATTTCAAAAGACTTTCCTGGCATTAATTCATTTTATTTGAATATTTTTAAATGGTTTGTGAATCACATTTTATTTATTGTAATAAGTTGTTTTTTTTTTTAATGAATGTTGACATTAAAGCCAGTAGTAATGAATAACATTAATATTTTGGAAAGCAGTATTATTGTAAAGTAACATTATCAAACCAAAATAATTTAGAACAGTAACAGTTGCCAGGATTTTTTCAAACTCTGCTGTAGCTTTGTAAAACAAAAAGCAATCAAGGAAAAGAAACCATTGAACTGGTAGCCCTGCATAATACCTAATCAGAGTCATTCAAATGAGTTTCTATGTATTTTTTTTTCATCATTTTGTAAACATCTTATAAAAGGATTTCAAATATTTGGCTTTCTAAATGTTGGCCACCTTTGTAATCAAGAATATGGTAAAACTATTTTATTATTCTTATTACACATCTGATTATTGGGAGATAATTTGTTTTAAGGATACTGTAGAGCAGTGGTTCTCAACCTTCCTAATGCCGCGACCCTTTAAGACAGTTTCTCATATCGTGGCGACCCCCAGCCGCACAATTACTTTCGTTGCTACGTCGTCGCTGTTAGTAAATGTGTTTTCAAATGGTCTTGGGCGACCCCTGGGAAAGGGTCGTGTGACCCCCAAAGGGGTCGCGACCCACAGGTTGAGAACCGCTGCTGTAGAGAGACACAAAAATCTGAGTCAATACAACAGAGACAGAAGAACAGACAAAATATAGAAACGCTGTAACAGAAGTACAATAAGAGACACTATAGCAAGACACAATATCAGAGACCCAAGAGTACATACAATATAGAAAAACTGTAACACAGGACACTATAACAGATACAATGAACATTCAAATGTGGTATAGCTGTACAACTCAATAAATACAGTCAACATTTATTTACTGAGCTTTAATTTTAGTGGTTTCGAGATTTCAAGATTTTAAATGGTTCTTGTTATTTGTAAGCTATATTTTTGTAGCTTTTCATGTTCCCATATAAGTTGGTATTTCCATGATAAAAATTGAGGTAAACAAAGATGCTAGGAATCACATGTTTCATGTTTAGCTTTAGAGGTCACATTTATACATTGTGTTTGTATGGTAAACCCCTGTGTTGTGTCACTAACAGGGTAGATTGGACTTTATGACAAGGTCTGACATAACAACACACTACACATGTTGGAATCTGAACCTTTTTCATCTTTGACTTTTAACAAAAGTAATCAGGGTTTATATTAAAATTTTCAAAGATAAAAAAGTAATTGTGTCTTTAGTATATAATTATACTACTTACAGATTTGATTTCTATATAGTGTAAATTTGTCATCTTAGATGTAAATGTAATGTTATTAAATGTAGATTGTTATCTATGGTGTAAATGTATTGTTAAAATACATGTAGAGTGTTATCTATGGTGTCAATGTATTGTTTAAAATACATGTAGATTGTTATCTATGGCGTAAATGTGTTGTTAAAATACATGTAGATAGTTATCTATGGTGTAAATGTATTGTTATAATACATGTAGATTGTTATCTATGGTGTAAATGTATTGTTTAAAATACATGTAGATTGTTATCTATGGTTTAAATGTATTGTTCAAAATACATGTAGATTGTTATCTATGGTGTAAATGTATTGTTATAATACATGTAGAGTGTTATCTATGGTGTAAATAGTTAATTTTTTTCTCCTTACTGTTCAGTTGTTTAGCAGCTGAGGTTTCCC